GATTCTTTTTCTTGGATTCTAAATTGATACTGTCTGAAAAATCTTTTCTTCTTTTTTGTACCTGTTAATTGTGTGTAATAAGACAGAGGAAGCAATAATTTTAGGTTGCCAGATAAACTAGATTGTCTCTGGAAACTGACTCCAAGGTTGAGCCTCGTTTTGTTGTTGGTTTCATCCTATCTCATTATAGCAGAACTTTCCTTTTTGTTTTTCGGTATTATAGTCAGGGTATCTCCTCGTACGTAGTTTACGCTGTTGTCTGAGTGGGATATGAAGGATGTACTGCCTTACATACGCCTAGAATTGGCATTTGAATAAAAGAATAATGCTTCTTAAAGGAATCACATTGACATTGACTTCCGCTGGTTTAATTACTACTACGTTAGTACGTTTGGATGCTTGTTTCGACGCTTTATCATTTCTATTCTTAAACGCTTCTCACGGTTCGATATTAGTTGTGCCATAACCTCGACTTGCTCTAAAGCCGCCTTCCGGTTGATGGGGTTCTTTTTTCTCTCGGCTGTGAGGCCGTAATTACCTGATCCTTTGTTAGAAGCACTGTAGATAGATATGGAGGAAGTACATTAATTGATCGAAGGTAACATGCTCATAAAACAATTAATCATACCTTGCTTTGAGGGTGATGAACAAACATCGTAACCAACGAGGACTCTAGGGAGGACACACAGTTAACTTTCCTTGTTTGGTGGGGGGTCTACCGTCCATCGCACATCACTGACCGTGAACCATGACCATTTTCATATGGAACTCTGGGTCATCAATTAACCAATTAGATGTTATTACTTTCGTTTCTTAATATTAGAACTAATTTGAAGAAACTAATAGAATTAGTTAAATTGGTTATTTTATCATAAATATGTATTGATTTGTGTTAGTAATTAACTAATCTTGTGTTAATATCTCCGACATATCCTTAAATGAAAATGAGACCCTGCAAATGTCCTTCAGCAATGAATGGATAAATCATAAATGAAAGGGAGTGGGGGCTTGAGCTGTAATTCAATGCAACCCGCGATTACGTAAGCAACTCTACTCAATTGCTTTCTCCTATCAATGTGTAATAAATGTTATTTATACCAAGTAGCACTATTTGGATGTATTTAGATGGAATTAAAACTATAATTTTAAAAATATTTTTATAATATACAAAATAAATATATAAAAAAATTTATCTCGATTTACAAAAAAATACTGTTCAGAAACACTTCTCATACTTCCAAACACGTTTCCATCCATTTGAAGTAGGATCTCTCAATTTTATGTTTTTAATAATTAAAAAAATGGCAATTCGGATTTCGAAAGGGCACCCTCAGACAGTCACATGTTTGATAGGGCTCTAGGCCTAGGGTTGAGGATTCAGTATCTTTTGCTTCAAAGACTGCAACTTCAAGCTGTGACACTTATACATCAAGTATGGCTCACCCCCAGGCTACTGAACAATGGTGGAGCCAGAATTTAGTTATGAGAGTGACGTAATTCAAATGTATATAAATAGTATGCGTAAAATATATATATACGCTATCTCCTCTTCTTAATATAAAAATTAAATAAGTGAATAAATATGTTAAACAAAATAGATTAGAGTTTTATATTTAAGGTCAAATTAAATTTTTTACTAACTCTTATATAATGTCATATAATATTAAGAAAAAAGTTAAAAATAATGGGATACCAACGGTCACCTATAAGGAGAGATAAAAGTCTTCATTACAACAAATTATGCCAACACGAAGAGGGGAGCTCAAAACCCTTAAAAAAAAAAAAGCAAATTAAAGATCCAATTTTTTTTGGGATAATTAATCCACAGCTCTTTATAGTTTCAACTAATTTTGAATCAGGTCCTTATAGTTTTTTTTCTTTTTATTAGGTCCTTATACTTTCATCTGTTCTTAATTAGGTCATTGTATTTATTTTTCTTTTTATCAAGTCCTTATAAGTTCACCTTATTTTTAATTAAGTCCCTGAATTTTTTATTCTTTATTTTATAAATTCTAATAGTACTATTATATAAACATAAAATAGTATATATTATTTAATATTAGTTTATAAACAATAATATTCTAAAGATATTGAATTATTATAATGATTTTAATTTTTTCAGCAAAAAAATTAATTGTTCTAAAAAATTTTCCTGAATTAATTAATTCTATTACTTTTTTATTACATAATTATTAATTTAATTTAATTATTAATATTTTATATTTTAGTATTAATCTATTTAATTAAGCTTATATTTAATTAATAAATAAAAATTAAAACTACATGGACCTGATTAAAAATTTAGTGAAATTATAAGGATTTAATTAAAAGAAAAATAAATACAAGGATCTAATTAAAAAAAGGTAAAAGTATAAGACCTAATAAAAAGAAAAAAAACTATAGGGATCTAATTTAAAATTTGTTGAAATTATAAGGACTTGCAGCTTAATTAACTTTTTTTTTGTTGATAAAATTAAAGATCCAATTTGTAAAGGCATTTAGTGTGAGCTTAGAGATGATGCATTATGTGGAATAATGGACACAGTAAACATCGTCAGAGACGGAGGCTGGTGGAAGGCTGTCTTCAATTCTAATGCGCAGGTGGGCCCATTTCTCATTTGTGTTCCCGCTTTCTTTCCTCATCACCCTTCCTTCAATACTTCATCCACATCACAGGCCGTCCGATTAATTGGTGGGACCCACCTTTCCCACCACGTCACCATCCTCAGTCAACTCTCAAGTCAGCATGTCGCCAATTAATTCAAGCACACCTGTCCTTCGGCTCTTTGGCGAGTTGAGATCCACCACGGGACCTTTTTTTTAAAAAAAAATATATATTTCATCAAAACAAATTCATTGATTGTTTTTTTTTTATTGAATTATCAATGCACTCTATCTAAGTGTTTTTGAGTTATAATTTGAGTGTTCCTTTAAAATTGTATATTAGCTCAGAGTTAGTTAATTTGAGTAGATTAAAGAGATTAATTAAGTCTGTCTTTTCTAAAATATTCTTACTAATCAAATATATTGACTAGAATTAGAGTTACTATAAAGACTACCTTGGAAAGAAATAGATAAATATGAAAAAAAAATAGATTGAGATCTTATATTTAGAACCAAAATAAAAGTTAAATAGATTCTTATATTGAGAATTTGAGATAGTATTTTATAAGAAAAATTATTAAAAAAAACCCATTGAAATATTTATCGTAAAAAAAAAAAAACCTGAACTTTGTTTAGGTACTCGTATTTTTGACGGGGTGCAATATATTTTCAATTATATGTAGATATCTTTTTATTTGAAATAAGATGGGTGCAACTTATTGTGCAATTCTTCTTCATTTGTATACAACACATTTTTAACTATAGACAAAATTTTTTAAAAGAAAAAAAGTTTGTATATAATTAAAGATATATAATTGAAGAAGTTATACCTATTCTAAGACCCAGGTCATTAAACGAATTTCTAGTATTTTTAAGTAATAAATATTTTAATGAGAGATTTTTTTTGCATTTTGTCTATTTAATAACTATAGTGATAACTTATATAATTGGCTATATTTTTGTTTTCGCATCTCGCATTGGTGGGACTACCAGCCACCACAACTAAATTGAGTCTAATTTGGTGATCAGATAGATCTATTTTAAAAAGAAATGCTCTCTTCAAAATTTAGGGGAGTTTGGTAATTTTTAAAAAAATAATTTTATAATATATAAAATAAATGTATGATACGATTTTTGTTTCGACTTTTCTAAAAGCTATCTTTCAACGTTTTAAGCAAAATACAAAAATAAATTGAGGATGTAAAATGGCGAGAGAAAAAATGGCAGGCATATAATGTTGAGAGAGACATGAGACATGACCGACAAACATGAAGCTTCACTTGAGCCGAGCCGAGCCGAGCCGAGCCGAGTGGCCCATGATAGCTCCTCAACAAACTTCTAGAGTTCTACCATTAGAAGTCAGGGAAGTAATTATTAATTTGTTATAATTCCAAAATGTGAACATGACTACATGAAGAGTTTTCAAGGCTGAAAAACATGGGTGTTTGACAGGAAGGCTGAGGCGCCCAGCTCAAGTCAACTGCCGAAGCGGATTGCAAACCCCACTTCTCTCTCTCTCTTCCTCACCTCATTATGATCTGTGAAGCGAGGGTTGGTCGTCACTCTCAGGCTTAAAACTGATAGCTAGTTCATCTCCTTCTGCCTCACCATTTTCAGAATAAAACACTTCTCAAACTCTTATCATCTTCACTGTACTCTGACCGTCTTTCCTCCTTTTCCACAATACATCCCTCTCAACCCAAGTCTCTCTTTGCATTTTCTGTCACTATCCAAGCAAGTTACAGAAGGCTCCTCTTTCAACCAGTCATTCTGCGCGTAACATTCTACATTTTTAGCTTTTTTATCATAAGATTTTCATGCTTTTAATGTATGTGGCACTAATATGTTCTATCAAAATCTCATTTAATAAGTGTCTGAAAATTATCCCACCTTTTTGTCCTTTTTCATAGCTTCATCGAAAGCTGACATCCTGCTGTTCTGGAGCTCAATTCTGATCTAACATGCCAACTTTTGATTTGAACCTTTGGATTATCCTTGAAAGGTCTGAAATCTAAGCTTTGTCTTCCGGACTAATCAAATTCCTTTGCTCTGTTCCTCCGGCTCTGTCCATTGACACAGAAAAGCGCTTGCAATTGACGTCCTTCTGGGGTATAATATGCCAGCCAATCTTCTTGGAAGCTTTTGAATTTACCCTATTCCTTTATTACTTTGACGCTTTTATGTGATGCTGATACTCTGTTCTGCTTCAATCGGATGTTCATTTAAAGGTCTGAAAATTATCCTCCCTTTCTGTCCTCTTCCTTCTTTCAGCTCACTCTCCGTGGCTTCTGCGGCGCAATTCAGATCGTATTGTGTCAGCCAGGCCATTTATGAAGCTTCTAAATTTCCTGTCTTGTTCTTTAGACCAGTCAAACACTCCTTCCTTTTTCCTACAGTCTTCTTCACAGCCACACAAAGTGTCAATCATTGAAGTCCTTTTCAATCACAATATACCAACCAATCTGTTTTGAAGCTTGTAAATTTGCTCTGGAAGTTTGGAACTTTGAGCCTTGTTCTTTACACCAATTAAAACCCTCATCCTTTTTCATTCAGTCATTCTCGCAAACAAAAAAGGTGCAATGCAACACCCGACGTTATTTCAATTCACGAAAAGCCATGGATTTCCGGAACAAGAACAGCTCAAGTGTCCACGTTGTGATTCCACAAACACCAAGTTCTGCTACTACAACAATTACAACCTCTCGCAACCACGCCATTTCTGCAAGAGTTGCAGAAGGTACTGGACCAAAGGAGGCACTCTCCGCAACATCCCCGTCGGAGGTGGAAGCCGGAAGAACACAAAGCGATCATCCACCGGCGCCAAACGATTATCCGCAACGCCATCTTCATCATCATCTTCTCCGTCAGTTTCGTCGGCCATAGGAGGCGCAGACCCGACCCGTGTTTATACCGACTCGATGGGTGGGAATTTCAGTTCACTTATGACATCATCATCTTCTGGGCATCAAGGAAGTGTTCTGGAGGGTCTGAATCCAAATGGATCGGATCTGAAAATGGCGGAAGCGGGTGAATTTGGGGCGAAAGTGAGTTCAGTTGAGCGGGTTGTAGATCCGGGTTCGGAGATGCAGAGAAATGGCGATGCAGAGAGGTTTCTGGGTTCGCAAAATGCAGATTCGAGCCGTTGGAATAACGGCAACGAGCGGTCTTATCTTGCGATGTATACATCAGGCTCAGGCTTCCAGTAGAATCAGACAAGAACAAATTTTTCTTCTGCTCAACCCAGCAGCTTCCTCATTAGTCGGATTCTGATCTTGATACTTCAACTCTGGTGAAGTTAGTAATCATAATTCAGACGTTTCTTTCTGATAATGTCAGCATGTGTATACTTCGATGGAGAAGAAATAGATGGTGCTGGGGTGAATAGTGAATGCAAAGTGAGGGAGGATCTGATTATGAAAATTGCTATTGTTTTGCATGTAATTTGTAGTACATTTAACTAGACGTGGATTTTGTGTATTTAATTTTAAATTTAATATAAATTATATTATTATAACTTTTGAGTAATGCATTACGCATTTTGTAAAATTTATTTTCATGTATTAGATTTCATATTTTATAGTAATATATTAATTGCGAACCTTGAGTTTTTTTTAACAATTATGTGCGACATATTTGGGAAAATTTGATACAAAGGGGTAAAAATACAAATGAAATTTATTTTCTTTTATCTTTCTTTAACTAAATATATAAAATTAACTCATAACTATAGAAAATCTCAATCTTTCAAGTCTGTTTCTTTTTATTGTATTTTACTATTTTTTTCCAAAGCATGAGATTAGAATAATTTTTTTAAAAAAAATTTACCCCTAATTTAGGAGGAAATCTACACACCAATATATACCCACCGCATACATGTACTTGGAGTCTTATCCACAACCTCTCTTTATTTAGTAATGTGTAATTATCATTTGAGTCAAATGCTTTAGAGTAATATTTTGATTTAAGTTGTCGTTGTTTTAGGCCAATTTTTTTTTTTTTCATATTTCAACTTTTATTAATCGTAGATGTTGGTGAGAAGAAAAAAGTGTGACCAGGGGCCTGGACCCTAATTTGATCTGTGTATAATGTTGGGTCATTAGCTATAGTCCCATAGAATTTGTATGGTAAAATTTGGGGTCATAAGGTTAGCTTCTTTCTTTAGAATTCATTGACGTTACCAATAAGAGTTAGTCCAATTAGTTAAAAGTTGGCTCATAATCTATAAAGTCGTGAGTTTAAATCTCGGGTTCCCATTTGGTGCTCATCAGGTGATGAGCACCCAATGCTCATCACCTGATGAGCAATCTGGACCGTCCAGATTTAATGTGGACGGTCCAGATTTAATCATTAAATAATTATTTTAAAAAAAAAAATTATATTTTTAAAAATGATAGTTATGAGATTATCTTTATTTTTTATCTTATACCTATTAAAATAATTATTTTTAAAAAAATAAAAATAAAATAAAAATAAATCTGGACCGTCCAGATCAGATCTGGACGGTCCAGATGGGTGATGAGCATTGGGTGCTCATCACCTGATGAGCACCCAATGCAATCCTTAAATCTCACTGTCAATATGAGGACCTTATTGGTGGGTAATTTGAAAGTACTTCTGTAAGTGCTCTCTGAGCCTAGAGACATACCCTGATCTCAGTGAGCTCTCATGATCCAACTCACCTGAAATTTTTATTATTAAAAAAAAAAAAAGAATTCATTGACGTTGGTGGTAGAGAAGTGCATCTTTTTGCATGAATTGATTGAGTGCACTTGAGCTTATCAGTTCAATCATTCAGTGCGGTCATCTCATTAATTATCGCTTGGCCTTTCAAATTAAATGGGTGTCGTCTTCTTTCTAGATATGGAAATCTTGTGACATAAATAAATGTATATCAAATTTGTCAACAAGTGAGATGACATGAGTGATAAAAGAATCCGTAATTTTTTAGGTCATTGGATATAAGCTTTGTGAATTATAAAAACCATGTTAGGATAATTTTTTTTATTTATATAAATAGATGTTGTCCTTCTTAAAATATTATTAATTATGTATATTAAACTACCACTTAATAAAAACTCATTAAAATATACATTCATCATATGGACTTCTTGAAGGCAAAATAAATAAATATTGAAAACAAAACAATTGAGATTTTATATTTAAAACTAAATTGAATCTTTAATTAGCTTTTAAGGAGGACTAGAGTATATCTAGATGCTAATTTCCCATTTGAATTTTCCTCTTCCAAGTTGAATTCCTGAGTCTACTATATATAAGCTGGCCAAGCAAATAGAATAGCAAGGAACGCGTCAATACAATCAACCGAAGCATCAAGCACAAGACACAAATGAAAAAGGAATTAACTTCATAATAAATCTAAGCCTAAATAGTTTAACGATCCATAGGTTCCAAACAACCAACAAACATCAAAATGAACATAGAGAAGAGAGAAGAGACTGAACGAAACAATAGGTGAAATTCAAATTCCTTTCATTTTGCCTTCCCTGTAGTCAGCAAGAACCACCTCACTTTCATTCTGTCCTCGCTCCACCAAAAAAAAAAAAAAAGTTAAGACCGCTTCCAACGGCAGCCGGTGGACAAATATATGAAGGTTCTACACTAAAAGGCTCGAAATGTCGTGTTTAGCATTAAAAACGTCGAAAACGTCTGTCCATGTTCGGCACCGTTCGCGCCTGGCAGCTTTACATCCACCCACGGCTGAGGAGAAGAGACGCCTTTTCCATGAATTTCAAACTAAGCCACTGCCGATCGAGACTTCATCCACTGCTAGTTGTACCTCAGAATCCTTTTTCTCCTACTCGAAACTTCTTTGCTTGACAGAGTATGCGCAGTTACTTCTCTATTTCATTGGTGGCAAGGTCACAAATAATTTTTGAGCATTGGAACCAAGTAACACTCTACATTACCAATCATCAAATTCTTGTGATGCAATTTCTGCCCAGTGGCAGAGATATTAACAAAAATAGAAAGAGCTCGACAAGGTCAATGGCAGAGATCTTTCGTCAAGAAGTGAACATATATTTATCAAACTTCGAATTGGATTAGTTGTGCAAAATCCACATGCGAGAAATTGACAAATTTCTGATGATCGTGAAAGAAGGGACATTCCATGAAGAGAAAAGGGCCCGGAGGGGTTTGGGATAGCAATTCAACTCAAATCTTTATACAATTGTTTAACTTAAAAAAGAATACCAAATTAATTGAATAAGATTAATTCTAAGTGACAAGCTTCTGACAAGCATCCAACGCAACTATAAAAAGTACAACACGAACAATGATCTTGTATACCACTCCTCTGACAATCAGCTTCCTCAAGGACAATCACAAGGCCCCCTCATAACCATTACACAGGTACAACACGAGCCTTGTACAGGATTATATACGCCATATGCCAATCACCTGAACATAGATGGGAGAGTGATTCTCAATCACATTAATCCTCATGAATCACAAACTAGATAGAGGAAAGGATTCCTGAACCTATATTGCATTGTGATAGAAATGAAGTTAAGTTGTTGATTTTTAGTGTCATTCAATTTTCAATTTAGTGATGTGGCCAATCATCTGTTATATTAACACTATAGTTTGCACATCACTTATGTCATCTCATTCCAAACGCTAGGCCAACAAGGCATCACACGCCAGCCGGAGAGTGAATTTTACCCCACCATCCGGCACTATCCCTTTCATTGTCAATAAGCTTTTGGCCGTGCAAACAAAATTCCACAAGATACAGCAAGGTTTAAGATTGCTAATCAAATTAATTTTGTTCAATCTAGAGGGGCTCAATTTCAAACTTCAAAAAAAAAAAAAAAAGGTAAACAAACTCAGGAAACCAACTCAACAAATGAACTGATCAGTCCGTTTGAGAACAAGAACATGTATGGAATATTTAACTCAGCTTTCATAGTTTTCCAGAAGGTTTATGGTAGTGAAGCTATTATAGGTTCCGCTAAAAATGTTTGTATATCCATATTTTAAAACTGATTTGGCATATCCTTACCTCCTCCAGATAGTTTAGTGATGTCTTCTTCCACTCGTGGTTTGGGATTATCATCATCATACTCAATCCATTTTCCTGCCAACAAAAAAATATTGATTTCACAACTTCGAAAAGACCAACTTGAATATCAAAGAAATGTAGATATGCTTCAAAGAACGAACCACTTTCTTGCTTGACCCACGCACCATAATGTCCTGAATCAGCACTCCGACCCTTGTGGGTCAATACGGCAACCAAGTCATAAATTCCAGTCATCTGTGTTTCTTTTTCACCTATTGACAGCAGCATAGGTAAACAGAAGGAAAAATGTTGGCAATGGAAAACAAATTCAGTGGAAGGATTTCATGAGTTTTTCACCTTCCTCCATTGGAGCTACAGACGGTTCCCCCCCTGCATTTGATGATCCCTGAAACAATACAAAAGAAACTCTAAGCAATTATACTCATGCCATGTATCTATACACACTTTATAGAGTTGGCTTGTCTCATCACCTCAGTATCAGACACTTTTACATCGTTTTCTTTTTGAGCTGAGGTTTTCTCATTGACTTTTAGACCAAGCCTTTTGCCTTCTTCATTTCTTAGAATCTGTTTTACAATGCCAAAACGAAAATAGTCACCTTAAATCATTAAACAAATTGCCCTTTTATCAAAGAGACTGCCATGAGATTTAAATGCAAAAAAAATGTGGATACCTGTCGAGGAGCTTCCAACTTCTTACGTAGATCTTCCGAACAAAGATCATAAACATCCAACTCAAGAGGATAATCCACTTTCTGTGAAGAGGAAACCCAATTATGAATTGTGAACAAACATATATAAAGTCTGAGAAAGCAAACAAAAACCTCTCAGGAAGCCCATTTCTTCCTCCACTTCCCCCAACAACCCCCCCCCCAAAAAAAAAAACTCCTACAAGAAGGAAGCCGCACCCGCAAAATCTTAGCCTTCTGGTTAGATTCCCTCTTCCAGAAAAAACGTACAAACTGAATGGTCAAGTACCTTGAAAATGCAATGTTATAACGACACTGAGAATGAAATAAGCAAAGATATACAAATATATAAAGTGAAAGAGAAAAAACTAATGCAAAGCATCATAAAAGCACCAGTTAAGAAACCAGCGAAAACACATGTGAACTACTGCTAGACCATGTCATGGGTCATCATATAGACTGTAGACCATAATGATTCAAATCGAAGTTCAAAACTGGTAGACATTGAAATTTGTATTCATAACTAAGCATTTTTCCTTAAGCATAGTAAATCATGGAAATGAAAAACAGTACTTAAATCTTCTTTCATTTAACAAATAAATCTTGGCAAACTCAATTTGGCATGAACAACAAAACACTCAAAATAAACAAGACCAAAATTTGGATATTTACATTCATGGCTTGTCCCCTTTTCATTTCTTAAATGATTTCCTCTTTTCGTGGGAAAGAAGAAGGAGGGGAGGTGTTGGTTGTCTCTATGGTCACCACCACAGCCCCTCTTGGAACCTTACCACCAGTAGCAACATCTTATCTTCATTCATCTTTTCAGCTAGTTGCTTGGCGTTTTCTAACCAGCTTTCTTATTTACAATTCCTCTCAAAACTAAGTTTCACTCTCTTCTCCTGATCTTATTAAGGTCTACCTACTTCTAAAATTGAAATACAGCTGACCTTTAAAATCAACAAATTATAGCATAGGCTTTCAAATAATTCACTAGGTTACGATGATTGACTACATAGCAACAACTTAGTAGATGCCATATTTAAAGTTAGCTAGAAAATCATACAAATTTCATATTTTCATATTCAAAAATACACTAGGCACGACATCAGACGGTGTCAGTAAAGATTTGAAGAGCAACAATCCAAAAATGAAAAGCCCAAAAGGAAAAAAAGAAATATCTACTTCGGCAAGGCATTGATCCGAGATTCCTTCAAGTAGATTGCACTGCGCCCCAAAGCAGCAGAAGCCTTCTCCAACTCAGATTTTAGGCCCTGCATGATTGAAATTAATTAAACTCTCTAGGATTTATTCAGTACTTGAGAACAAGAGCAAATTCTTAAAGCAATAATAAAACATCAATATTTTTTTACGAACCCTTAAGCGTCAATATGCTAGACATCAATTATGTTGTGCCATGTTAAATTTATTTAAAGCAATAATAAAACGGCAAAAGATTTCATCAAATAAATGATCACTGGTATCAAAGCTTGAGATCAATTTAAAGTTTCAAATATTTCATAATCACAAGAGCCAATGACATCCGGCAGCATGAAACAATCAACCACGTGAAAAATAAGCATAGAAAGTAAGCAATAATGGACAGATGATTTTCAGGAATAGAAGATCCACTAGTCTATGGCCCTCACAGTACTACAGTAGCTAGTCACTCAGCTTCGCCTCAGTTAAACTTCTATATTTTGCCCATCTCCCTTGAATTCAACTATTGATGAAAGCTAGTGGTGGAAAGAGGGCAATGTAGCAGGACGTGGTGACCCCCCGGGGGGGGGGCTACAAGGCATTCAGGATGGTGGAGCTAGTCATCAATCACAACAAAGCGTAAAAACAAGGATAGAGTAGCAAGAAAAATAATCTCATCGGCGAATAATTATCACATTATTGCATAATGAGTCTGTCAAGTCTTCAGAACTGTATTATATCAATAGCACTTACATGCTTCAGTCCTTCATGCAAATGGTTCACCTCCTGTGATATGTGGCATTTAAGTGAGTAAACAGATTCTGCCTCTGAGCTTTCTTCATTACTCTCTTGGCAATGTATCCTAGCAATTCATCACTAAAAAACATGAGTACAATAAATAGGTAAACTTGCAGGAGACTAATGAAGCATTTTAATATACTCACTCATTCGTAAAAAGCAGATTGTGTCCTTTAAAATGTGATTAATTGAACCAGCTAGCATCGACTACAATGCCACACAAGGGCACACATGTTCAGAGAGAGACGAATACATATGATTGTGAAGACCCCCATCAATAGAGACCCTAAACAAACACATGTTTTTGTCCTAAACTGCTAGAATATGATAGCTTGCCTGTCTCATGGCCTACCTAGTTTAAGTTGGCTACCAAAAATGAACGGGAAAACAAAAATCATTGTTGTGTATGAAGTCATCATTTTGAACAATAAATTGAGTACTTAGTATGTTAAGATAAAATAATCTATCCCCTCTTGGTATTAACCGTTCTACCAATCAAACTCAAATATTTTCTAGATGAAAACTGCTCTATGATGGTGAATGTAAATCATTAAAAACAAAAACAAAAAAAGAAGCCCAAATCTATGAGATAAAGACTGACAACGGGGCTACTTGAGAAACAGAGGGTGAGGTAAAATTAACAGATGCATCAAAGCGATGAGATCAAGAAAAATACAATGCAAATCAAACTTAAAATCTATTTTATTCTTAAACCATTCAAGGAAAATCAGCTTAGTAGTTGAGCAGCAGAAACTCACAAAGAATGCAATAAATTGATGATTGATAAATAAACACAATGCAGAATACTTCTAAGAACAAGCATCTTATTGCGTATTATTATTAGGAGTAGCAACAATTAAGATAAAATCCCAGATAGTTCACCTGCTAACAAGGTCTATGCCAAAAAGAGCCTTCACATCATCAGGATTTTCACTGGAAGGAAAATTTATATTAAATTACTCAATAAGTAAATACTCATGAAAAAAGAGGTTATTGAAAAATAAATAAGAAACGTTAATCCTTGAGAACTTGTAAAACCAAGTAAAGCACAATGAAATTGCATTTTAAGATAACTATGAATCAGACAATAAATGTGGAAGAGAGAAGCATGAACAATGAAGTTTCACTATTCTTGCATGCCAGCTTTTCCATGAAAAATATTGTTTTTCAAGATAGTCAAGCAATCGCTTTTAAATGCTAAGCAATAGCAAGAAAATCACCTGGATCCAGGGGATCTGAGAGACTGAGAAAGTGTGTACAAAAGTTGCGTCCAACATTCTTCAGCATCCTGATAGATATGAAAAAAATTAAATACTTATGCCAGCTCATTTAAGCAGTCCAATTAATTCCACAAAGAGACGTCCAATTAATGAACCTGTTGCATGAACACCCCATTATGCAGCTGGCCAAATTGAGGATACTTTTTCCGCAGTACCTGGTAAAAGAGATAACAAGTCAGGCCAATATCATTCCACCATCCCCATTTTATGAGCTGAGGCAGAGTATGGTGAAAAAAGGAAAAAAAAATTTAGAAAGAAAATTCCATCAACAACAAAGAAAGCATACAATGACCGAACGAGATAGCCCCTATAGAGGAATAGAAACCAAAAAAAAAAAAAGAAATATTTTGTAAACTTCTCTCTTTCAAGATGCCAAACACTTTCATGTCATTTCAAACTCAAAATAAATCAATCTAAGAAGAAACACATTATTAAGCCTACAAAATACAGAACTCTTGGCTCCTATACCTGATCAGAATAGTGGACTACTAAAATAATCAGACTTATTATTAAAATAGAACACACTAGCTGGATTATTGATGTATTGAATTGGACCAAAACTGCAATAATGATCTTCATAGTATAGAACATGTTGCAAAATTTTAACTTATGAAGCTTCGAAGACAAGATCTTCTCAAAACATTTCAAAAAATAAATCAATCAGCAATTCACATAACAGAAAGTCTGAGCCAAGAAAAAACGAACCATCCAAAATTGCATTGGCGCCACAGGCTTCACACTTTTATCAAGCTCATTAAATAACTCACGGGTTGCAATAGTCAACATATGAGAAGACTGATCCACATCATTGCTCCGGCCAGAATGAGAGTACCTAATTCCAAGAAAACATACTGTTCATCATATGTGTCAGAGACAAATGAGAAATGAAAAGGGTCCTCAGGAAGGTTATAGGACAACTCCGCCTATCACCACTCATGGTTGAAAAAAGAATAGAGCTAAGATGTAAGATAATGAATTGATGGGGTGAATATGTCTAGAACTGAGAATGAGGGAGTTGATTCTGTGTAGTCATCATTTTAAAGTATCATTAGATCAGTTACTTCCATTTGTTGGCGAAGTGTCATATGTCTGGATATTAGATGTGTAGGTGTCTTATGTTTAGGTATTTGACACTCGTTGTTGGCTTTCTGTCATGATTGGTTATTCCCAAACAATGCGGATTGCATACGAACATGTATAATGCATTTGAAGGGAATGAAGTGAACATTCAGTTTATGTTGGAGATTCTCATTCCTTCAACTGATAAACAATTCTCTTTTCACTTGTCTATCCTAGAACATAAAAGAGCTCACTTGATCAAGGCTGACTTCAACTCTGGCACAGAATGGAGACATTGCAATGTTGAATTCATATAACAAGTGTTTCCCAAATTGAACAGGCCAGCAGTGTGACCCTGGAAGGAACACACCAAAAAAGGAAAAGCAGACGTTAGAGATGAAAGGTAATTACTCTCAGTAAACCGGAAGTTAAATATAAAGATAGACTCAAAGTGCTTTGGACAAAGAAATCCACCTCCATATGGTATATTAGAATTATTAGCATACGGAGATTTCATGTTATAAGAGAAAAAACAAAAAGAACTGATTTAGACTGAAACTGCGTATGGCAAGCAAACATAGATTAGTTTTGCAAGAGTACAAGTCCTAAGGCCATTGTCATTTTAAAAAAAAAAAATGTGGGCATAAATGCAAAAATCGAAATTTGCCCAGGAGCCAGTTAACCATGGGGACAGAATTAGAGTTGAAAAATGTGTTTATGCATAATAATGTCATTACACAGAGGAAAAGAGTTGAAATTCAAAACGTACCAAAGAAACTACTTGTTCTTCTTCAGGAAGGTCTTCAACGAAAACAGGTCCCTTCTCTGGAACCTTCACAATTTCATCAGCAGTCCCCATCATCATCAGCTTTTGACCCTGCAAAATTAGATTATGTGGATCATTCAGTAAAAGAATGTAAGGTAGGCGGTTCTTTTTTTTCTTTTTTTTTTTTTTTTAAAAAGGTAAAATTAGATACTGCATCTTAGCAACACTCACATCTTTCACACCTAATGTTGACCAATCAGCATCATCCTGCATACCCGAAAATAAATGATTGAAGAAGATTAAGCAGCACTTATAATAAGCTATACTTAATTCATTAAGACATGCTGAAAATTGATATCTGATCACTTATCGGTATCACAAATACAATAACCTACTTACCTTCAATAGACCACCCTTGACCATAATTTTTGCCTTTCAGGAGGGACCCCAGTTAGATCATATAATTGGCACTTAAAGACATAAGGGGGTTGGGAAGTATCAAGTTCTACATCTTTAAACAGCTCCTTTTGCCATTTTACACTCACTGCATAAGGAATCACAGTGCAGTAATGAGTAATAGACCGTAAAATTATTAATATTACAGCCTGTAAAAGACAAATAAGAAAATTGACAGGGAAATCATCCAATTAATATGAGAGGAAATTCATATTTTAAGAAAAATTAGAGCCTCCAAGGCCATGAAGCACCTTTGCGTCACTCACGTAGGCATGCAGCCCATAAAAGAATATACCAGAAATGTAAGGAATTCAAAATGGTAATATGGATAAAACAAAAGGCAATTAACAATTGGGGAAGGGGGGTGAAACTATGAACAGGAAATCATATTGAAACCCCAAAAAATTGCTGACTCAACATGTACGTATTACTTTTCAAAAAAAAAAAAAACATTATGACCTTTCCTACTCAACAAATATATTATACGAAGGTATAAATTCCTCTTAATTAAATACATTTCAAGTGAAACTTTTACTAGAGATTTCATGATACAAGGTATACATTACATTGTAGTTGTAGCATAGGTATAGCTCATTTGCTTTTCCTACAACTAGTTCATTATAAAATACCGCGAAAACCAATTTGACACTTACAGTCCCAGCTTATCCAATAACATAATTTACAAGATTCACAGAAATCGAGCTCAAGCACGATCCTCCAAAAAAATTTAATTCGGAGATGGATAATTTATCAACCTAGTAAACAGACAGGGGAATGCCCAACCTGCAAATTTCGAACGACCTATCTCTTGAATACGAATACGCAGTGCAAATCAGAGTCCGATTAAACGAAAAATCGAACACCAACATGAACAGCGAACCTTAAAACGTTCAATGAAAGGAAGAAGGAAAAAAAAGAATCGGTATGAAAACCGCATCGCAGGCACTCATTCTCCCCTTCGTATGATGCATATCAAATTGAAACAGAGGATTGAAAATCAAGCTCGAGAAGGTCACTGACCTGAAATCATGGTTAAAAGAACTCTGGGGCGAGAAGGATCAGAGAGAGGAAGAGCTTGTGTAGAAGGCTAGAAGCTTGGCTTGAAGAAAGGGAAAAGCAGAATTGTGCACGAGGCGCTTCCCCTGTGAATTTATACGGGGCAAGTCCAAGCCCAATGCCTCTCTTCAGGATCGGGTGACTGTTGCGCCAACGCAATGAACAACGTGACTAAACTTGGACCCGCCGGTTCGATATTTTACGGAAAATTAAAATTAAGGAGATAAAAAACTTGTTGGCCAAAAAAAAAAAAAATTGTAAGTAGAGTTCTGTCATTTACTTACTGTTTTGGTGATAAGTTCTGCCACTTATTTAATTTATTTTAAAACTTTAAAAAGTTAACAAAACATTTCCTCAAACTTTTTCATAAAAAAAAATTGATAGTAGTTTTTTTTAGTAAAATACTCTAACCTCCTTTATATTTGCTCTAACTACACTGATCTTCCTTCTATTTTAAAAATATACACTTAAATTTAAACCGTTAACTCTATTAAGAATATTTTAAAAAAATAACTTTTCAATTAAAATTTCTATTAAAATACTTTTTATTTATTAATTTACCCTTTGTCATATTAAATTCTCAAATTTTGACTAAAAAATTTTAACGAATTTAAAATTTGTTTTCTTTTTCTTAGTTTTATTTTTCAATTTTTAAAAGTAGTTATTTCTTTGGTGTTTTTATCATATTGGAATGGAAAATTAATTAACTTATTTAATGTAGACATAAAAACCGTGAAGAAAAATTTGATTAACTCTTTAAATAAATTAAAATTATAAATTTTTATAATACAATCAAAATTAATAAAATTTTTTGCATATTAAAATTTTGAAAATAAGCGTATTAAAATTATTTTTGAAGTATCAAAAATTATTTTTTGACAAATATAAATGTTTAAATAACTATTATGCTAAACGAGGGTATTTTGGTCGATATAGGAGTTCAAAAATCAAACTTAACAGTCACCTAACAATTGAATGGATAAAAATAAAATCTCAAATATATAAAAGAGGTATGTGTAATATACATTTTAATTTTAAAAAATATTTGTCATTTAAATAAAATAGAAGGAAAGTTAAAGTATTTTAGTTTTGTTTTATTTTTGAGAGTTTCATATGATATTTGTATCTCACCACATTGTTATTATTGCCTGAATCGCCGAGGTTTGGTTACTGTAATTTTATTTTTCACCATTACAACTTAAATTTAAAAGTGAATGACAAATAGTATTAGTAACACTGTCTATCATGTTTAGGCTCCAATAACACCTATGTGGATATTTACAGATTGTTTATTAAATAAAGTCCTCACATTCACGACCTTTTAAATAATGAATTAACTCTTTACCAATTAAACTAATTCTTATTGGTAGGTATTATTATTATTTGGATCTACACATTGTAGTAATCACGTACAAAAAAATAATTGGAGGCAATGATGAGAGAGATAGATTAGAGGGTGTTTGGATGAAATCAAATCATAGTTTGGAGAATAGGTTCTGGAAAATAGATTTTTTGAAGTATGGATTTTGTAAAAAAGTGATTCTAATAATATGAGAATGTTTGGGTAATTGTTATCAGAAACACTTTTTATATGTACAGATTACTAAAAATGATATAAATTAATATGATAATTACATAAAAGAAAGATTTTATAATATATTTTTATTTGAAGTAATAATTTTTTAATAATATATTTTTTGTTAACACAATAAATAATATATGAAAAAACGTAATTAATAAATAATTAGTATGTATATATGTATTTATAAAATATAAGATTAAATATGTTTTTAAAAAAATAATTTTTTTGCCAATAGAAAAATATTATTTTACCTTAAAGATTTTAAATATGAAATCTCAAAATATTTTTTCGCAACTAGTTTTTTTTAACAATATACTAACTCTGGTCTTTAGTATAAGAACTATTTTGATATTCAATTTGGTCTTAAATATAAAACTCCAATCTATTTTATTTATTATATTTATATATATTTTAAAATAGTCCTTATAGTAATTATACATGTTAAATATTTCATCAAATAGTATTTCTAGCAAATACACATGATTAGAAAGGATATCTCAAGGAAGACAATACCCATTTATTACAAATAGTTAACTTAACTAATTTTTTTAATCTACTCAAATTAGTTACCTAACTCTTATATTAAAGATTGAAAATAGTATTACAATGTGAAAAAAAAAAGACCACATTTTCAAAAAGCAATTTTTTTTTGCTTTTCATGAAACCATAGTTTTAGAGGTCAAAACCTTGATTTTAGACCAAACCAAGATTTTCTGAAAAATCAGCCTGTTTGGGTAATCTTTGACCAAAATCATGGTTTGGAGGGGGGGGGGAAGCACTTTTTTTTTGAAATTGCCAAACACCGGATAATAGGAAAAATTTCAGCTAATCGCACAATCTGGACTTAATAAACAAAAATTCCGAAACTTCAAATCCCATAATGAAGTTAAATTGTAAAGTCTTTTTACAGAAATACCCTTACCCAACTGCTTGTAAATTAAGTTGTACAATTCTGTGTAACATTGTTATTTACTTATTTTATTGCTGTTTGTTGCAAATTTTCATATTTTGAGTTATTATTTTCTTGGTAAAAAAATGATGTTACTTAGTGTTTTTATGTTGAGAATTGTTATTGTTCTATGATATTTGCTAATAAAATTTGCATCCCTGCCTATAATTTGTCTAAACACTTGTAAATTGAGTTGTAAATTTTTATATGTTGAGTTGTTTTTTTTTTTGGTTAAAATTCCACTTGTAAGCGTAACATAAGAGGTGTTTGGATGAAATTAAAGTTTGAAGAATAACTTTTGAAAAATAGATTTTGGGGAGAATAGATTTTGTGAAAAAGTGATTTTGAGAAGTGAGAGTCTTTGGATAATTGTTATCATAAGCACTTTTTATATATACAAATTACTAAAAAAAACATAAGTTACTCCTCCGGTCCTTATTATAAGACCCAATTTGACTTTTTATTTGGTCCTAATTATAAGACCCAATCCATTTTGTCTCTTATATTTATGCATTTTTTTCCAAGATAATCCTTCTAATAATGATAGTTTTAGCCAATATACTTAATTAGCAAGGATATTTTAGGAACGACAACACTTATTTATTATAAATAACCAACTTAACTTACTTCCTTAATCTCCTCAAATAAGTCAATTGGGTCTTATAATTAGGACCGGAGGAGTAATATGATAATTACATAAAAAACAGATTTTATAATATATTTTAATTTGAAGGAATAAAATTGTTAATAATATATTTTTTACTAACATAATTAATAATACATAAAATAATGTAATTAACAAATAATTCGTATGTGTATATATATTTATAAGATATAAGATTAGATATGTTTATAAAAAAATAATTGAGGAATGTTAAAGTCATATTATTATTGAGATCTACTCTAATAGACACAATCATACTCTCCAATTTAAGCTAGAAGCAAAATAGATTCACTTCTCTTGAAATCATGGTTTTGGGCTCCAAAACCATGGTCTTAGCTCAAACCATGGTTTTGGATTATTAGCCCAAAATTAATGTTGTTTGGGTGACATTCCACTCAAACCATGGTTTTGCCTCCCAAACAGGCCCTAGTCTTTAGGCTAGAAGACTCCAATGATATTTCAAAATGTTTTGGTCCCTATTTTTAATAATTTATCCAGAAATGTTGTTATAAATATAACATGTAATGACATACTACCTCTGATCCTTAATATAAGATTTTGTTTGAATTTTATTTTGATCATAAATATAAAATTCTAATCTATTTTGTCTCTCATATTTATGTATTTTTTCCAAGGTAGTCCTTCTAATAATGGTAGTTTTAACCAATGCACTTGATTAGTAAAGATATTTTAGAAAAGATAATATCTATTTACTACAAATAACTAACCTAATTTTCTTTCTTTATTCTTCTTAAATTAATCAACTAGCTTTTTTAATTAAGAGCGGAGATAATATAATTTATGTCACTGAGCCCGCCTAATCTGTTGTTGGATTTGCACATTATCAACGCTATCAAGCAAAAGTCACTTGTCCTGAAATGAGGGGAAAATGTCCAAACTTAACAATATTACTTGTCACATCAACCTTGGGGACCCCCTTCCATGTGCCCTAAGAAAAGTAATCAGACTGTCAATTCATGCTTATTTTAAGACATCTTATAGAATAGTAAGGGTGAATATTGCTTGTTTGGGAGTAATAACGTATTTCATTGTTTTTTTTTTCCTTCTATCATTTCAAACTTTTCGATCATTCGTATTTCATAGTTTTATTTTAATGCGGTTATTTAGAACTCATGAAACCTGGTCAGAAAAATTTAGAACTTATGAAAAACTATTGATGGTAGGTTATAGCGGTTTTCAATTTTTTTTTTGTACATTAAGTGTACTGTTGGCCCAAAAAAAGTATTTTAAGGGCACTAATCATTGTTTATTTTGTTGTAATCTCAAGTATTGGTATGTCTTATGTTAAGAGTCAGAGGAATAAGATTTAAATATAAAATTTAAATAAATAATATATATATTAAAAAACAAAATGTTAAGTTGAATCATGTTGAAGATTTTAAAAAAATAAATAAATCAAAGTGGGAGTGGCAGACTGTAGTAAATTTTATGTGGTATTTGTAGCAACATTGTTAAAATGATATGTTCCCAAAAAAAATGCTAAAAAGAAAAATGACAAATAAAGAACCATGAATTATTAAAATTATAAAGAGGTCACATAAATAAGCCAAATTGTCATGAGGGACCCGACCCCATATTACAAATATGAAATCTTGATGAAATATCTGAAATGCCCCTAAGTTAAGTTGTAATTTGATTTACCGAAGTTGTCATTCGTTAAAGTGAATTTGTTATTTCCCATAGTCAACTTGTCCTTTAGCATATCCTTAGTCAAGTTGTGATTTGGTTTGCTAAAGTTGTCATTCGCTAAAGTGAACTTATCATTTCCTATAGTCAACTTGTAATTTGGTTGAGGGGCATTTCGGATATTTCACTAAAATTTCATATTTGCAATATGGGACCAGGTCTTTATTTGCCATTTTCC